TTGTTACTACTAGTAAGGCACCTGTTACTAGTAGCGTGGCACTTGTTCCTAGTAGCGATGCCCTTTGCTCCGTTCGTAGCGTCCTTGCTATCAGGTGGCACTCCGCTCCACCATGCGGCACTGCACGGGCGGACCAATGTGGTGAACGTGCTCTTGGAGCGTTCGCCGGATTTGGAAGCGCTGAATCGCAAGCGTCGCTCGTCACAAGCGTCGTTGACGGGGAGGGAGGGTTTTGGGTGAGAAAGTGGGCATATTGATCCACCAGGTGTCACCAGGTTTACTGGATTCACCACGGGGAACATAGGGAGCCTGGAGCCAGAGCTTGAGATGCAAGCGTTTTTAAACTTTGTTTTGGTGAGTAACTTGTGCCCACATGCAGCTCCAGCTTTTTCCAGCCAAGGCCAGACGCCGCTCCACGTCGCATCCCTGTACGGCCACTTGGATACCGCCAAAATTCTCTTGGAGAAGGGGGCCAACGCTGAGGCCAAGGATATTCGAGGCCGGGCATTATTTGTTTGTCGATGTTTGTTGACGCCGCTACTAGGAACAAGAAGCTACGAACGGGGCTCCTGGCCTTACTATATAATAGTAGTAACAAGAAACTACTAGGGTCGTGCCATTGTCTTGATTTCTCTCTTTTTTTAGTTCTTTAGGAGATCTTTGTTGACGCATCAAGGCGCAAGCACCGTGGAAGCCCACCCACCGGCACGGCGCGTACGGGGGGGCATGTTTTGCAGGCTGCACTCCAGCGAACCTCGCCAACAAGACTGGGCATGAGGACATGGAGAATCTCTTGTGCTGAGGTGGGTTCCTGCAGGAGTCAGCACTATTTGTTGTGGGAGAGACCCAGTGCTTAGCACTATCCACTGATGGACCCTGAGGGATTCTGCGAATGCTTCTTGTGCAGGTTGACCTTGGAGGGCATTCAGTGAGGATTCAAAGGAATCTAAAGGAAGTTTTAATCACCTTTTGTCAAAATGATGCAATCCGTTCGTCAACCGTCCAGAAAGGTTCTGTGCTTGATGCAATGGTGAGATGTCACACCACTAAGCACCACTGGTTGGTTAGCAGAAAAGAGCTGAGCCACCAACAGGACCAGTTGTTGCTGCTGGTGTGTTCCTCAACCCCATGCGGTTATCGGGAATTCTTGAACTTCTCGGATGTTGACCCGTTTGGAGTGGAAGATGTATGAAGCTTGTCGGTTGTGGGAACAACTTTGGACCCCCGACCGTTTGGTGCTCCAAGTGGCACTTGCGGGGGTGAAGAATGTAAGAAGATCCTGCCAGCAACCTTTCAACTGCCAGGTAATCATCCCAAATGATAGTGTGAACTGCCGTTTTGGCCGCCATGCCCTCTGGTCAGGCACTTGCGATTGCATAGAGCAGAGCCATTGAGGACAGGGTGAGTTGGTGTGCTTCGTGAGGCTTTGTAAGTCCACTTTGGGTCATCTTTTTGGCGAGCCTCCAGTCACGGACGGACATGAGTGAGTTCAGTTCGACTTCCGGACTCAGTTTGGAACTGAAAACTCGATGCTGCTCTTCCGCAGCCAGGTGCTGGCAGCGGCTGACACGCTTTCGGGCTTATATATCGATTCTAGGACACTGCGGTTGTTTGACGACTCGTCAATTGTCTCACTTGCCAATGTCGCTCGCACACACCGGGTGCATGCCACAGTCCGAGCAAAGCAGGTTCATGAGACGCAGGTGTTCAACCCTGACAGCCAACAAAGATGGGATATACATGTGGATACCTCAACTACGTCCCCAAATTGATCCTTTGCCTTCTTCAGGTGGATCTGTCGGCTGAAAATGCGTGGATGCATCTCCTAACCCCTGTCGCACTGGTGTGAAGATATGTGAAGACCTTCGACCTGAGCATGCAAAGGAAAAGCAGTGCTTTGGTGAACTGAGAAGTCTCAGGTCTTGAAGAAAAAGAGGAGATTGATCAGTTGACGAAAAAATAGGCTTGCTCCCCACTGAGACTTCCTACCGGGCACCGGCTTGAACGCGCAAAAATTCCTTCAGCCTCAGGAGCGTCAAGTAATGTTACCAGATGGAGATTCAAGAAAATCACATCACCAGCAAGTGGCACTCTCCTCCTATGGAGGGTGTCAAGGTTGCATCGAAATGGTTCCTCTCCCCAGGCGCATCGGTGTTGAAGACTCGGTTCTGCCTCAGAGACCTCCTATTTGGGAAGTGATGAGTCAGCAAAGTCCCAAAGTCGGAAATGTCGGTCGAGGGAAAGGCTTTGCACCTTTGCTGCCTGAAATCATCCCTCTTAGAATGACATGTAAAACAATAGCTTCTTGTTACTACTAGTAAGGCACCTGTTACTAGTAGCGTGGCACTTGTTACTAGTAGAAACAATACGTCTAAAGATTGTCTGGTTGCATGTTAGTTTTTGTTCGTTTCTTCTCTGCATGGCTTACCTTTGATGGCCCAAAGCAGGGTTTTGGGCCCGATGGCTCTGGGGCCGCTTTGATTGCCTCGAGCCATGCAGCCCACGGTGCGACCAGGCGCCGTTCCCAAGTATGCGCCGGTGAATTATCAGGTGCGCCGGTGGGTTCACCGGACGGGGCAGTCCGACCTGGGTCTTGATGTGTGGGGCCCAACGGTTGTTCTCACCGGTGAGAGCCATACAAAAGCCATGCTTTTTGCCTCAAGTACCAGATAATGTTTAAAAATTGAATACATGTTAATACATTTTATTACGTACATTCGGCATGGGGGGGGGCGGACGAAGATTTGTCTTCCCCAAGAACGAGAAGGGTACTTGATCCTCCAGACTGGGCGATATTTTACGGTAGGACTCTTGTTGGTTGAGGGGACCACCATTTGGGTGTCCACTGATGCACCAGCAAGCTAGTAGAGAAGTGCATAGTCAAAACACGTGCTGCAGATGTGTGCAATTGATCGGCGATTGGTGTAAATTAACCACTTCTTTTATTGTTCATGGCTCTTCTTGCCCTTGTGAGTCCAGAAGGTCTTCACTTTTGCAAGTCTTCACGACATGCTGGTAACCCCTCTGGTGGACAAAGGCCATCCAACAAGTGACAGAAATCTCGAAACTCCATCGATAGATTCGATCGTAGAAGTCTGTAGAAGTAGGAAACCCACAAGAATAGTCAAAATTACATGGAACATGAGCAAACCGTTAAACCTGTACTGTAAGGAAAGGAGATTTGCACCAAAAAGATGCCGCACCAATTCTGCTCCTTTTTGGCGACGCCGCATTCCAGGTCCCCAGGCCGGCGGGGATCCCCGTCACCGTGCCCAATGGCCCACACGGAGTGGCGCCGACCGCATACCAGGACTGCCCGGCCTCCGGAACTTTGGGTTCTCCATGCCGTTGTTTGTTTTTGGCCCGCTCTTAGCTTACTGTTGCTTCTTTTCGTGTGTTTAATTGACTTTCAGCCCGTGGCCCTTCCCCCTTACTCATTTAAAATGAGGGCTTACTCAATTGAGTAAGATTCAGTAAGGGCAGTGGACGAAAGATAGCTCACGCTCGCACCAGTATTCCTTTGTTTCCGAAAAAGAACTTGTGATGTCCAGGCTTCCAATCACACTTCTTATCTTTCCTCAAAAATGCGCTGGCGGTGACAATGTTTCCAAGGAGAGAGTTTCAGCACGCACAGCTCCGCTTCCAGCTCGCAGGCCTCGCAGACTCCGCGACCAATGATGGTCAAGAACCCGAATGGCAGCATCACCCACTATGCCATGCCTTTTCAGGCAGGGCCTGGCGGATGTTCACTTTACAAGCCTCCTGCTGTTGATGGTGGTGGTGTTGTTGTTGTTGTTGTCGTCGTCGTTGTTGTTGTTGTTCAGGCAGGTGATTTGGTTTTGAAGATTCCTTAAAGCTTCATGAGTCACAAGCTGATTGCCCAAACAAAGAGTAGCTCTAGGCACAAAAGAACAACGCAAAAAGGCACACAAAATTGGCCCATGTGAAGCTACTAGGTGGAGGCCATCGCCACTAGGAACAAGAAGCTACTAGGAGCAAAGGGCATCGCTACTAGGAGCAAGGACACTACTAGTAGCTCCTGGCCGTACTACTAGGAACAAGGACGCTACTAGTAACAAGAAGCCACTTGGGGCTCCTGGCATTGCTACTAGGAGCAAGGACGCTACTAGTCAACCTGCTTCCAGGCACAAGTGGCGCATGCGAAGCCAGTCACGGCGCCTGCGGGCCCTGCGGGCCCTGCGGGCCCTGCAGCACCTGTCCAGGTGGAAGGTTTTTCGGATGGTCCTCGGTGTTTGATGGTATCTCCAAACACATCAAGCCCATGCCTTCGATTTCCAAGGTGTTATCAGGGTCAAGCGTGTGGCCACTGGCCGAGTTTCGGATCCTCGGGACCATCAGTGACACCATCTCACATGTTCCCTTGCTCTTGATCATACACACGTACATCAGAAGGAGAAACATCAAAGATGCCTCGAAGCATCGGTGGATGTGCCCCGGTTGGGTAGTCAGTCTACCATTATCATGGGTGTGTCAATCTACCAAGTAGGCTCCATCACCATGTTGGATGCATGAAGGATTCGCTCGTGCGTCCCCCTTGCAGGCTCCTATGATGAAGATGCCCGACGGGAGCCTCCGACCTTATGCTCCACCAGTGCAACGTGTGGCTCGGCACTGGCACGAGCCAAGCACTTCAACCAAAACATATGGGAACGAAGACCGACTGAAAGCGGAAAGATGGCTCAGGCCACCGCATCTGCTGTTCGGGCCTCAGACAGGTTACCTGCGCTGTTCGGTCAAACAAGATTCTGCGCAGAATCCCCACCGAAAAGTATTCGAGTCCAGTTTGTTCCTTTTTTGACTGTGAAAGAGTGGAGAGACTGAAGCATCACTGCAACGTGCCATGTTCAGTTTCTTGACCCATGATGACCCTTTGCTGACAAGAATGTTGCCAACCTAGGCAGCTCTCTTCAATGAATTGGATCAAAACAAGGATGGCGTGATCTCCAGGGAAGAGTTCATGCGCATGCAGGTCCCAAGAAAAGGGGGTTCGCTTTCTTTCACCAAGTCGCGTTTCAATATGCGAGCCAATGAGAGTGCAGCTGAGTCCAGCAGTAGCAGTTCAACTCTCGACGCAGGCGAAGCAAATGCCTGCTCCAGTTCCAGCTCCAGTACCAAAGTCTTCAGAAGGCTATACCCAGCCTGCGCAGCCTGCAACTGCACAAGCTGTGACACAGGCCACTAGCCTCAAAAGCCAGGGACATGCACCATACTCATGCAAAGAGATGATGTAACTGTGGGTCAAAACCCTGAGCTCCCAAAAAACAGTAGGTTGACCTCCCAGGTAGTTGACCTTCTGTTCATTCTTGGTGAAAAAGCCGGGGTGTCCCTGTTTTGACCGACTGGCGCCATGTAGTTGCTCATGGTTTCCAAACCGACTGGCACATGTCTGCAAGGCCTTGGGCCCCATGGGCCCCATCGCGAGGTGGTCCGCGCCGACGCCGAGGCCGTGTCAAAGCCCGCCCCTGTGCTGCCGAAAGTGGCTCCGGCTCCAGAGAGCATCCCGCCTGTGGCCACAGCGGCTGTGGCGGTTGCTCGGTCAGGACATCACTTCGGCGGCCAGGGCGGGCCAAGTGAGGATGGCTGTGGCTTGTTGGAAGGTTTCGCAGGATGCCATTAAAAGAGCTTTCACTTCTGATGTGTGCGGGCAAGGAGACCTTGGTTTTTGATGCATCAACTCGCGCGATTCCACACTTGAGTAATGACCCTTTGACTTTCCAGAACTGCGAGGCATTTTTTGTTGAAGCTTCCCAGGAATCCGGTAAAGACCTCACTCGCATCCGAGTGTCGATACAAATACCCAGGACTTGTGTGTGTGTCGCCAAATTTGTGCAGAGGTTTGATTCTAGCTTGCAGAAGGGGTGTCTAGAAGCAATTGTTCCAAGGTTGGATGGATTTCAGATTTGTTTTTGTTTGCCTTTGCCTTGCCTGTATTTGCCAGCTTCCAATAGCATCCCTTTGTTTTGCGTTCTATTTGAATCTAAAGGATGGCTCTAAAGGAAGGTCGTGCGTTTTGGAGATCAAACCATCTGAACGCCAGATCCTGCGAGGCTCCAATTGAGAAGAAGCAGGAGCCGGGCTGATGACACACCATAGATGCGCAGCTCGATACACCCATCTTGCGAACCTTCCATCGCATGCAACTGTCGCAATGTGTTTTGCAAGCTTTGTCAGCAGGTAAGACAATCAATCTAGCTCAGCAACAGGCAGTGTGGCCGCCCAGCAAAGCGACTGGAAATCCCGATTCATAGTGGCACTCTTCTCACAAACCTTAGACAGCTAGCGGCGTTTGCAGACTTCCTACAATCAAAGCTTAGCCCAAACCACAGTGGGTTTAAATCCTCACGAGCCGCTCGCTCGCTCACTTTTGGCCTAAGTATGCATGAACAACAAACTATATGAAGCTTTGGCCTACCAACCACAGGCTGGTTGAGGGGATCAGCAGCCCAGATCCCCACGAGGAGGAGCTTTCCGAAGCTGCAGATGCGGCGGAAGCGAAGAAATGCCACCTGTAACGCAGTGGGGCGAGAGTCCAGCGCCGGGGAGGGAAGAGAGACGTGTTGGTCTCAAGTATATTTCACAGCCAGGCGGGATTTGTGTGGCCGTTCTTCTTTCATATTCTTGTTCAATTCATGTTGTTGAATTGTTTGCCTCAATGGACATTAGTATCGGTGGTCAGGAGAGTATGGGTCAGGATGTATGAGAAGCAGGTATGGCCCTCATTTGATGAGCAGACTGATCGTGTTTGTTTTCCTGGAGTATGGGAGGGTAAAATGGTTGAATTAATGTCGAACAAGATTGTTTATGGCTCCAAGAAGTTCTGGAGCACAGGTTTGTATGCCTTGGTATAAATTGGACATAAAGAATGAGTGAAACCACATGAGCGATTCTGAGTGATCTTCGACGACCTGCGAACGACCTGCACCCCAGGTGGGACCCTTTGGGATGCAGCGAAAGCGGGCAACATCGCGGCAGCAGCTTGGAGAAGTCGGTCGTTGCCACCGCGGTCGTTGTTGGCTAGTAGCAAGAAGCTACTACATTGGAGGCCTCTGCTACTAGGGTGGAGGCCATCTCTGCTGCTAACAACCTACTAGTAGCTCCTGGCAAAGCTGCTTGCTAGTAACAAGAAGCTACTAGGAGCATGAAGCTACTAGGGGCTCCTGGCCTTGCTACTAGGAACAAGAAGCTACTAGGAACAAAGGGCATCGCTACGAACGGAGCAAGGACGCTACTAACGGCTCCTGGCCTTACTACTAGGAACAAAGACCCTGCTAGGCGCTCCTGGCCTTACTACTAGGAACAACGTTCGCTATTAGAAACAATACATAAATAGGATTAGAGTTAAAGTTAAATCTTATTAGAATTAATCAGAATTTGAAACTAGAAGCTACTAGGACCTTTTCGCGCTAGTATGGCAACTCGGTCCGTGTCGACTTCGGTCGGTGTGGCGGCTCGGGAGCCTCCGGCCGTTCGCCGCTGTCCTCGCTGTCTCAGGTGCGGCACTTCCGGAAGAAGGGCACTCCCAGCATTGAAGAGAAGGACTCAACAGGCGTGAGTTTGAGAACCGGCGAGTTTTAGGTTGGATGCAGCTTGTTCGCAGTCTTCAAACATCTTCAAATACAAAACAGCTGAAGAAAAAGAACAAATTAACAAAATAACTACTAGTAGCAAGGACGCTACGATCGGGGCTCCTGGCATCGCTACGAACGGAGCGAGGACGCTACGATTGGGGCTAAATGAAGAGATCTGGACAGGTCAGATGGACACAGCATAGACACGTGTACGCCAAGCGCTTCCTTTAGAGTTCGTCCCACTGCCACAGTCCGCCCACGAGGCAAGTGCGCGTTGTTGCTGGCGGCAGAGCAAACCCAAATGGACTTGGTGAAGTTTCTTTTGGACTCTTGGTCTTGTCTTCTTGCCTTGTTTTTGCTTGACACATAGTCGATGGTTGTTCTTGCTTGCTATGAAATCGCAGGTCCCAACCGGATTTTACCAACCGGATTTACATGGAGAAATTGTTTGGCCAGCCTTGGACCTGGCATTATGAATTCGAGTCGCTGAACCTGCGCGAACTGTCGCTTAGCGGGTCCTCTTTGCACAGCCAAGGACTGTGGAGCAAAGACAGAAGCCAAAGACAACGAAGGCCGTTTTTGGGTGTTCGCTTCGGAGACTCAATGTATTTCAGAACAGGAGTCTTTTTGTGTGTGTGTTTTTTGGTTGTTGAGTAGGTGGTAGGCTTCAGTCAGCTTTTAAGTATAGGCCGCTGCTGCCACCAACCTAAGAGCGATGGCCTCCAACCAACTTGCGATGCTCTCGCACTCTTCATTTGGTTCTAGATCTTGGGGGAAACTTGACTTGGGCCACAGGTCACTTTCATCAGCCAAACCAACACTGCTATACAACGAGTGTGTGTGTGAAAAAGACTTGCAACGTGGGAAAACGAGTGCTGGTGGCCATTTGGGGCACTGCCTCATCCCAACAACTCATGGCCATAGCCTCCGGTTCTGTTTCCAGAGATTTAACTTCCTGACCTTTGAAAGTGGCGCCGCAAAGGTCACTACATTGTGGAGGGTGTGGTTTTCAGGATGTTTTGAACACATGGGTACTTACCAAATCTCCAATTCACACACCTTCGTTAGTTCATTGAAGGAAATGCACAAAGAAATGATGCCAAGCAAGTCTTCCTTCGGGAAGAGGTTGAAAGACTCAGAGGCCGCTGTCGGACACTCAGGCGCTACAGCCCTGCACTACGCCGCCTCGAAGGGCCATGTCGAGTTGGTTCGCTTGCTTCTGGACCGAGGTGAAAACGAGAAGCGCTTATATAAACGAGAGAAAGAAGAAAAGAAAAGACACATGCAATGCGTTTTTCATGTTTGTGTTCTTTGTTATGTTTTTAAGCAAGAGAATGAAAACTCGGAGCATTGTTAGCCTGGATTGTGAAATGAATGAGGTGGATGGTCACAACACTGGCAACATCCCCCCAACCAAAAAGAGTCTGTGTAGTGATCAGTTGGGTGCCAGTGAGCAGTGTGGCCAATCCCTCAAGTTGCCAAGGTCGAATCCTTTTTCCAGCCAGGTGCCAACATCGAAGCGAAGGACGACAGCGAATGTTTGGTGCCCAGAGTGAGAGTGTAGAAGCGCCGCCGGATGGGTCATGTGGGGTGTGAGAACGAGCAAACGAATCGGCCAACTCAGCTGTTTAGCAAGAAACGTCTATTTTTTCCCTCTCCTCACCTGCTCAGGTGGCACACCTTTGCATTTGGCTGCCTCGAATGACCATGCGGAGGTGGTTCGAGTCTTGTTGGACAGTGGTGCCGATGTGAAAGCCAAGGACTCTCAGGGCCACATGGCAGCAGGGCCACCACGACCAGGGCAGCAGTTGCACCTCAACCGTTGGGTTGTTTTCAGGTGATTTGAGGGTGTGTTGCTGATGGGTAGAGGATTCTTCAGACGTTAGTTGTATTGCTTGACGTTCCTAGAACTGGCGAGACCCGTAACTACATTTAGCTTGGTAGTTTTCTAGAGGGACATATATAGATGCTGCTCAGGCATGTCCCTTGGGAGGGAAGAAAGAGCATGTACTAAAAATATCAACATGTTCTGTCTGCATCCTCCTTGTGCATGTACACTGAAGGCAGGCATACATCATTTTGAAGCTTGAAAGAATAGAGGCATGTCATCATGTCTTGTCCCTGAAGACCTTCAGCCCCTCAAACCACCCTGTTTGAGGTCAGACGCCCTTGCACCGTGCAGCACCATATGCCCATGCTGCTTCCAGCCGCTTTCTGCTGGATGGTGGTGCAGAGATCAATGCGAAAGACTGTCAAGGCCCTTCGGGCCTTCACTGTGCCAAGCGGCAAAGTCATTTCAACGTCATGGGCAAAGTCCATTTCTTGTGTTTGAGAAGCAGAATGCCCCACCACCCAGTTGATGTTTTTTTGTCGTGTAACATGCAGGCAGCCGCCGTAGCCCCTCCTTGTGGCCGACAATATTGGTCATACCATGTCATACCCAAAGGCGGCGTCTCTGTGGTTGAATACATGGATGATGTGAAACTGAGCTCTAGGCGGTGTCTGTCTGGATATTTCCGATTGACTCGAAGGATCGGGTGTTCTGCTTGGTCACTGACCACGGTTAGTCCTAAACGGGCTAGTCGTTGGGTTCATTGTCAAGGCGGGAGATGTCTACATGCATGCGCGGTGTCACATTGCGTTTGCCTTTGCGATGCAGTCCTGAATATTCCCACTGGAGACCCGTTGGGCTGACCTGGTTCTTCCTCCCTCGTTGGAAGGTGAGGTATAGCGGTCCCTCCTGACCAGGGCGCTGTTGCGCTGGTTGGCCATACAGTATCCATATAACGTTGAAGTGCTGCTCTAGTATTGGATATGGTAAAATGCCATGGGCCTGGGTGCCCAAGGGGTGAGTTCTTCTACCTTCCCCGCTCTGACTGGCGAAGCCACAAATCCGCAGACACGACATGGAATTCCATGGATGTGTGCGAAGGTGAGACCCCACTGCACCAAGCTGCTTTGCAAGGCCATGTGGAGGCAAGGAAGGGTGGTTGGTCGAAGTTGATCAACTTTTTCACTCCGCCCGCACAAACTTGTTGTGTATACCGCATGTATTCACACCACACCTGTTTGACCGACTCCATTACTACGCCCGTGTAAGTCTTGAACCTGTGTGCCCACTGCCACGAAAACTTGAAAGACCCAGCAAGATGCTTAAAACCGATGCTTTTTGTCACACCTCACCACTCTAGGTGGTCCGCTTCTTGCTGGAGCGCAAGGCTGACCTAGAGGTCACTGACGACGATTTTGGTGACTGGGAAGGGAAGGGAGGCCATTGGTGCCGGGTGTCTTGCATGCTTTTCAGAAGATGTCAGGTCTTGGACTGAACTACTCGCTACAACAGGCTTGAGGGAACTTTTTCTTCTAGCCCTATTGCTGCCTTTGGGTGGTAAGCAGGATTTTTAGAATCTGCACAAGGTCCTGTTGATTCAAGCTTCAAACTACATCAAGACCAACGTACTCAGCAGTCAAGCTGAGATGTGTTCAATGTTGCAGTGGAACATTTGAGTGAACACGGGTGAATGCAACACCCATTGAAAGAAGTGGCATTGATGCCTGCACTGCCTAACTTGGTGTTTGAGACTTCAAGCTGAGGTGAGACACCATTGCATTTTGCAGCCGCGTGTGGTCACAAAGAGATGCTTGGGTTGCTAAAAGTATCGACATACATGTGTTGGCTTTACGTTCCTGTTTTGTTTTGTTTGGGGCTTGGTGTGGAGTGATTGTCTAGGCCATCACCCCTTCATCTGCAAACTGTTCACCTGACCTATCGCAAGCAACTTAGAGTACCAAAGAATTCTTTCTTGCAAGGGACAAAGGTTTTTCATGCGCTGTTTATCAAATAAGGCAAGTTCCTGTCAGGTTCCTTCGTTGTGAGAAACCATCTGGAGCCGTTTTGAAGCTTTGAGAGTGCAGCCCAGGATGGTTGAGTTATTGCTTGACAACCGCGCCAACATTGCAGCGAAGGACCGAGAAGGTGCTAAGCCTTACAGTCTTTACAGCCCGTTTTGTCATGGTGCTTGCCCCCAAAAAGTGTTTTTTCTTCGATCTTTTGAAGCGACATCAAGAGTGGTGTTTTGCTATCCAGGCTCGTCCGCCTTGGATTTGGCAAAGAAGAGCAGCCGAAGTGTGGTCGTTGAACTCTTGGAGAAGCGAGCTCAGTGAAGCCTGCTGGAGCCAGGCATGGATCTGTGGTGACACAAACTGATGTGTTTTTTCACTGGCAAGTTCGACCTCCAAATAGTTGAAATGCAGTCCCATAGTTCTTCAGTATAAGTCTTCCAAATGCTCAGCCAGGTCTGGAAATTTCATTGATTTGCTTAATTCGTGGATAATGCATCGAATTTGCGAACGTTCAAGAAGAAAACTAGACGACAGGGTGGCCCAAAAGCACAGAAGCAGATGACAGAAGGTAACGATGAGCATGAGGATTGTAACGAGGACGATGATGATGATGATGATGATGATGCTGATGCTGATGCTGATGTTGATGATGATGATGCTGATGCTGATGGTGATGGTGATGGTGGTGGTGATAATCGTGATGATGAATTTTATGGTGCTAATGCCAAGCCTCGTGGCACTGCCAATCACGGACTCACGCAAACACTTTGCACCGAGGCCGCACAAAACCGTATGGCAGTGACATCCTGGACGTATTTTCGCCATACAGAGTGCTAGTTTTGCGGCCAGCTCCTGGAAGCCGCTTCCTACACTATTTGCACTATGAAGTGCCAGTTCTGAGGCCACACGACATTTCCACTACAAAGTTACTAGTCATCAGGCCGCACCTCCCAGCTGCTTCCCGTGCTTAATGATGATCACGATGTTGCTGATGACGCTAGGGACGATGATGATGACGATTTTCGTGATGATAATGCTCAGCTTGATATTTGTGATGATAGCTGGACAATTAAAATGGACAACCGTTTTTTACAGGGAGTTAGTTTTGTAAATAGATAAATCTATTGTTTCTATATTGGGTTTTTATATGTGTGAAGTATTTATATATGGTATTTATGATCGATTAATGATTTTTGTTTGAGGCGGATTTATATGGAGCGTTAATAAAAATAGCATTAATCTTAGTTTATTTTAATTCGAATTTATTTTAAATAGAATTTAATATAGATTAATCTAAGTTTATTGATGTTTAATTAATTTAATGTTTATTTAGTTTAATTTTGTTTTAATTTAAATTGATTTTAATTAATGTTAATTTATTTTAATTGAATTACATGTTGGATTTATTTTTTTCTATTTAAATTAAAATTTAAATCAATGTTTTTAGCATGTGAATCGTTAATATAAGAAATCGAAAGATTGAATGAAAATTGTTAATGTTATTTAAACGTATTGTTTTATTGTTTCGTCGTTTTATTGGAAGGTTTAAGGGTGTTTATTTCGGAATCGAAATATGGAATGAAGATATTCGTATTAAAATGAAAAGGTGTTTGATTATATAATAATTTATATTTAATATATTTATAGAATTTATATTTTTAGTATAATAAATGTCGTTATTAATTTTGAATTGAAATTAAAAATTAATAATTAAATATTTTTTACATTAATTATTCGTAAGAGAAAAATATATTGAATTTAAATTATAATATTTTAAAAATTTTAATAATTTAAAATATTTTAATGTAGTTATGAAAGCTAGTTGGAATTTGATTTGTAATATAGTAAGGACGATGGAAGCTAAGGATTTTAATGTTATTATCTGATATATTAGGATTATATTTTTTTTCGTCCCGTTGATCGGGTTTAATTCTATCTTTCTTTTCCTTAGTTTTTGTTGTTGTTGCTTGGTCGCTGTTATTATTCGCATCTTATTTGTGTTTGGCTTTTGGTTGCTTGGTATTGCTGGCTGCTTATTGTCTGTTCCGTTTTGTTGTTGTTGTTGTTTGGGGTTGTTGGTTATTGTTGGTGTTTTAGAAAGCCTATTCGTTTGAATCGAGAGTAATTGCATTTTTTTTGAGTCGTGAAATGATATTAAATTTTTTATGTTTTTAAGAAATTTAAATAGGCATGTATCCACCCCATAATCCCTAAGAGCATAAATTATAATACACTATCCACTATTTATGTAGATTAAAAGATTATACTTACTACACACACGAATAACAGAACCCAGTCAGATGTTTGAACGGGCTGTTTGCTTCACTCATGGAAGTCCGTGTTCTATGTTCGAGCGACAGGGAGCACGCATAAGCGTTACGATGGAGTCTTCGGTTGGGGAGACATGTTCGCATGCATTCCCTAGATGTTAATTATGCACACCGCTACCTTTATCTTCCTCAGTTTTTGTTGTTGTTGCTTGGTCGCTGTTGTTATTCGCATCTCATTTGTGCTTGGCTCTTGGTTGTTTGGTGTTGCTGGCTGCTTATTGTCTGCTCCGTTTTGTTGTTGTTGTTGTTGTTTGGGGTTGTTGATTGTTGTTGGTGTTTTAGAAAGCCTATTCGTTTGAATTGAGAGTAATTGCATTCCTTCTGAGTCGTGAAATGATGTTAATTTTATTATCTCCTTAAGAAATTTATATAGGCATGTATCCACCCCATAATCCCTAAGAGCATAAATTAGAATGCACTATCCGCAATTTATGTAGATCAAAAGATTATATTTACTACACACACGAATAACAGAACCCAGTCAGATGTTTGAACGGGCTGTTTGCTTCACTCATGGAAGTCCGTATTCCATGTTCGAGCGATGGGGAGCACGCACAAGCGTTACGATGGAGTCTTCGGTCGGGGAGACATGTTCGCATGCAACCCCTAGATGTCAATTATGCACACCGCTGCTGGTTGCGTCAGCAGGAGTAGAGTCTTCGCGCCCCAACATTTGGTTTCGAACAATCGCACGTTTTGGTGTTGCCTGACTAATTGTAGAAGGACGACGTCGAAACAAATGATGATTGTTGCTGCTGTTTCTTGGTGGCTGGTGGTGCTTTTCTAGCTGCTGCTGTTGCGTGCTGCTTGCTAGTTATTGCGTTGTGGCTGTTGCTGCTGCTGCGGTTGCTTGGGTGGTTGTGTGGTGCCATGTCACGAAAGGTAGTTGCAGCTTTCTTGTTTTAGCAAGGAGGTTGGGAGCACAAGGACGTGAGTGTTGTTATCTGATATATCAGGGCTTGAAATAGCCTCTTCTCTTCCTCGCTACCTGGTTGCTGTTGTTTGGTGCTTGCATGCTTGGTGCTGCTGGATGCACACTTAGTAAGCAATGTCTTTAGTGTGCACTGCCACCACGAGCAGGGGGTTATCTTCAGCACCCTCTTCTTTGGGTCGGTATCCGTAGCCCCCTTCACTTCCGCGAGTCTTTCCCACCATTTGGTCTAGAACAAATAGCAGATATTGGTGTGCCTGAATAATTGTTGAAGGCCTTCGCACGAATAAATCCTGACGATGCAGCCAGCAACGCCTCCCCACACAGAAGGATCACAAGCTGCAAACGCTGCTGGAGACCACACAAACAAGCAGCTTTCTGTGTGTTGGTTTTTGAAAATCAACCACTCGATGCAGTTCACAGTCAGATTTGCCTTTTTCAATTGTCTCACCACCTAGAAGCTCCCTACACGCGTTTGGGACAAATCCTCGGTTTGCAGCTGTTGGCAGCTCACGCACGCGGCCGTCTCTGTCCTGTCAAAATCTGACGACAGATAGTGCGACGATGCCTGCTTCCAGGAAAGAGTCAGACTTCGGTTCAGATTTGCAACTCGCCCTTTCTCACCTAAGTCGAGGCAGGCCGTGCATCCTTTGGTGTTGAAGCATTGCGATCTCTTGAAGAAGCAAAAAGTTTGGAAAACCTGTCAGGGTTGAGAATTGCTGGGGACAAAGCGTTTGGCCTGTATGATGTTCTTGATCGAAAGCAATCAAGCTTCCGGGTCAATGGTCAGCTGCTTTTTTTCGGCAGTCTGATTGCAGCCTTGCACGCTTGGTGCATGTTTGTTTGCTACAAAAGCTTGTGGTGGACATCCGCCGTGAGTCGACCTAGCGCCCTGAGACCAAATGTTGTGAACCCATTCTTCGTATTTTGTGGTCTGTGTACAGGTTTTGTTTTCCGGGGAATATGCGCGTGTGTGGCCATTGGGCCGGAGATTGGTGTTCACAGTGTATTGGCACAGGTTTTGACACGTTAACTTTCCAATCGCCCAGAAAATTTTTTGAGATGTTTTTGCATAGAAAATGTCTTCAATTAAAAAAATCAAATCGAAAATTACACGGGCAAGGGACCCCAAACAATGTGCAGAGAAACAGATGGAATAGGGACCAACAACTTCCAAAACGAAGAACAAAAAGCTTCCAAAACGTCTGCAACTCACAAGCCACCGTCGATCGAGGCCTGATCAGAACGCTGATGGCAATGGGCTTGTTCCCCATTTCCTCGCAAGCAGGAAGCTCACACCAGCATCTGTTCCCTTCTTGGCAGCCGCGACCACTCAGGTTCAGTGTAATCACAGAAGTTAAAATTCTTGATAGATCCAATTTTTGCATTCATAAATGATGAAACGATGAAACTAACTTTGACAGCAACCACTGTGGAGCGAAGTGCGTTCAACTCAAGACGTCATGCTGTGTTTTCCCAGTGGGTGGCCAAGTGACACGGCATCCCCGTGCCGAGTGTTCAATCGTGTGCTCTGGTTCATGGTGGGTAGTGTGATCATTGATCATTGTTGCCTCGATTTTAAGGCAATGATTTGGTGATTCCGGTGGCCTTGAGGCTGCAGCTCGGCGACTCAACCTGCCACACACCCATTTCCTTTTGGTTATTCGTTTGGAAACTTCCGGAACGATGGGTGCGACCGGGTCTCGGATCATTCTCGGAGCATGCTCGGAATCGGTGAAGATTTCGTAGCAGGTGCAGTCTTTGTGAACCTCCATGTGCAGATTTCGTGGCAACAGCACTTTGGGTATCCATGTGCAGATTGCACACAGCAACGAACTTTTGCATGCCAATATCATCAAAGATGTCATTGGAACGAACACCTTTGCAAAATTTGGTTTTGCACTTTGCTCTCCGAAACCCCGTTCCATCCCGCCTGGGCTTCCATAATCTTGCATACCAACCCTCGTCAGCTGTGCAGAGCTCGTCTACCATGCTCGTTCACGCGCTACCAGCGAATGTAACTGCTACGAAGTACCCGTGCACAAGCCCTTGCGATGACGCGGCCTATTAAGTGTGTATACGTGTGTACAACACACACGAAGCTGCGCAAAGAAACAAAAAAACAACTCGAAACAATGTCAAGGTTCAGGCGGTTTTTTTGCTCCTGTGCGTCATTTCTGCTTGGGCCCCATCTGGTGGCATAAAACGTTCGTGGGGATGTGGAGAATAATTTTGTGGAAGAGATTTTTCCGGACTTTTGACCCACAGGAGTCCACTTGT